CAATTTTGAGCGTGTTGGTCTATCGTATGCCTAAGCATTTCCTTAATTACTCTATGAGCTCTTTCAAGAGAACCGTTTGTCTCGGGTCTATACGCACTAGCCATTGTTTTATTAATTTTGAGTATTTTACATACTTCAGTAAATATTTCACTTACAAATTCTGGACCGTTATCTGTTAATATACTCATAGGTATGCCATGAATACACACGAAATTAGTAACAAATGCCTTAGCCATTGTATTAGCTTTGTGGTCTTCCAAAGGTATTGTTAATAGAAATTTGGTCAAGTCATCTTGGATAGTAAGTATATAAGAATTATTCCTATAAGACGTGGGTAGCTTACCTACGATGTCTAGAAATATCTTTTGAAAAGGCTTTGTTGACGTCGTAGTGATCGCCATTGGTAACTTAATTTTTTTAGAGCTTTTATTTTTCTGACATGATTCGCATTTTTCTACGTACCGTCGTACGTCTTTTCTCATTCCCTTCCACTGTATTTGCGTTCTTATTCTTTTTAATGTCTTAGACACTCCCAAATGACCACCTAAGAGTGAGTCGTGATATAATTTAATTACATCTATTTTGTCCTGGCTACTCATTACGGTTTCGGAATATATTAGTACGTTTACGTGCGTACCCTTGAATATGTACCTATACATAGCTCTCACTTGTGACCAATTTAATTTATCTTTGGTATAATTTACCTCGTTTTTAAATACTGTTAGTTTATCTATTTTATTAGTTTCACATAGCTGTCTCAACTTTATTAGTGCTTTATATATATTTTCGTATGTAGGAACGTCGTTTTCCTTTTCTTTGGTTACCAAACAAATTAGTTTGTTATTTTCTATATATGCTATATCCCCAATAATGGTATTAATTTTAACTATGTCTACATCTCTAGTTATTGCTTGGGTTAGATCATTGGTTATTTTTTTATCCCTAGGTAAATCTATTACTACTATTGAGTCCCTAGGTGCATTTGCTATTTGTCCGTTTATTTCTTTTATTCGCGTATTTATAATTATTTTAGAATTAAATTCTTCATAAAATACGTCGTACGTTGTAGTAGCTTCGATTAGATTTATTTCTTTTATTCTACTTAATGCATCTGCATTTAAATTAGTTTTACCGCTTTTGTATTGAATTTCATAATCGAACTCGTCTAATTTTATTCGCCATCTAAGTAACCTACTGCCTGGGTCTTTGACACTAAATAACCATGTTAATGGCTTATGGTCAGTTATGATTGTAAATTTTCGTCCATAAACGTATGGTCGGAATTGTTTAACACCAAACATAATAGCTACTAGTTCTTTTTCGGTTGTTGAATAATTTATTTCGGCTTTATTGAGTGTACGTGACGCGTATGCGATAGGTAGATCGGCCGGTATAACACCTTGGCTTAGTACGCATCCTACCGCGTAATTACTGGCGTCACACGTAATAATAAATGGTTGTTCGAAATTCGGATATTGTAATAGTGGTGCGTTACATAGTATATTTTTTAATTTATCGAAAGCTTCTTGACAATCTATTGTCCATTTAAATTCTATTCCCTTTCGTAATAGGTTCGTTATTGGTTTCGCGATTTTTCCATAATCAGGTACAAAGTTTCTATAGTAACCTGTTAGTCCTAAAAACGATTTTATTTCTTTTACCGTCGTAGGTGTAGGGAATATTTTAACGCATTCAATTTTTCGTTCGTCGGGTTGTACCCCTTTCTCGGTTAATTTATGACCTAAATAAATTACTTCCTTTCTTAAAAATTCACATTTTATAGGTTGTAATTTTAAATTATGCGTACGTAATCGGGAAAATACCTCTCTAATTCGTTTGTCATGTTCACGTAAGTCAGCGGAAAAAATTATAATGTCGTCTAAATATACTAAACATTTTAAACCGATTAAATTACATAGAACGTTATTCATTAATCGTTGAAATGTGGGAGGACTATTTTTTAATCCCATTGGTAGTTTTGTATATTGCCAATGCCCTATGTCACTACTAAAGGCTGTTTTAACCCGTGACTCTTTATTTAACGAAATTTGATGAAAACCCTGTGCTAAATCTAAAATAGAAAAGTACTTAGACCTACCTAATCGATCTAACACATCTTGTATTTGTGGTAATGGCATTTTATCTCCCACTGTAATATTGTTTAATTTCCGAAAATCTACCACTAAACGAAATTTTGGCTTTCCTGATACGTCAATTTTTTTCGGGACTAATAGTATAGGACTATTCCATGGACTACTGCTCGGTTCTATTATACCGTCGCTTTCCATTTGTTTTATTTGTTTCGTTATTTCGTCCCTTTGACTATGTGGTAACCTATACTGTCTCTGATATATGGGAGGTTCCCCCTCCGGAGTTCTGATTTCATGTTCTATGGACGTGGTGTGGGTTAACCTATCACCCTCTAAATGAAATATGTCCATAAAATCTATACACACTTGCTCAATATTTTCGCGTTCTTCCGAATTTAAGTGTTCGGTACGTAATTCCTTTTTTAACTGTTGTACCCTTTCGGAATAATTTGGCAAGGTTTCACTTTCGGTAGTGTTAATATACATTATCGATTGTTCCCTATATAATTCATAATTTAATTGACTTAATCGCACCGGTCGTATTATTTTTTCCTCATCAGATAAATTTATGACGTTTACTAGCACGTGCCCGTCCTTCACTATGTTTATAACGTTGCCTATGAATACTTGTTCCTGTAGCTCTCCCTTTTGAATAGTTATTACCTCATTATCCTTAACCGTCCCAGTGTCAACACTTACTGCCATTATATATTCTACACGCGGAGGTATTCTTATATGATTTCCTAATGTTAACGTGTGTGCGCTACACCCGTATGGCATATTTATTGTAGTGTTTTGTAACTGGAAAAATGGTCTACCTAATATACCTGCTTTAATGAGTGGCATATCGTTTTTAACTATATAAAACTTTATATTTTCAAATATTTCTGTACCTATTTCTATTGGTATCTCTACTATACCTATGGTGGTTTCTAACATATTACTTATTCCCCTTAAAGAAATCGCTTCACCTGGTACCAACTTCGTATCCGCTGTTAACGCGGATAAACGAATTATATTTACGCTGCTACCTGTATCCACTAAAAATTCTAATGTTTCATTTATAAAATTTACTGACCTACTTTTAATGTGCTGATTTTCCATTGCGACCGTTATTTGTTTTATATCGTATATCTCCCTTAAATCCTTAACCACAGAGGGACTTTCTATTCCTGTGGCCGATAGCCGTTTCCCGAATTGGAGCTTTCTCCTTTTCTACGCCTATCTTCATTTTTCTTTTTATAACATTTATCTATAGTGTGCCCCTGTTTTGAGCAATACGTGCATATCAAATATGCGTTTGCTGTAGGTCTATTCGTACTAGGTTTATTACCCTCATTTCTAGGATTTCCCTTTTTAAACCTACAATCTCTAGCATAATGCCCGTATTTTCCGCATATATGACAATTACCTTTATTGTACTTTTGCGCTTCCCCTCTAGCCCTATTATTAATATGATTATTGGACCTTACTTCGCTTGGGGTTATATTTTTATCTTCAATTATTGCAATTTGTATTGCCTGCTCTAATGTGGAGGGATTTTTACTTTTTACCATTACTTTTATTCTATCGGATATCCCCTCCAAAAATACTAACAAGGCCTGCTCTCTTATATTATTCTGAACAGCTAATGCGTCGCTTGCACTTTTACCTTGTGTGCTACCTTCTGATACGGCCTGCACTAAATTACGTAGTCTATTAACGTATTCTATTAATGTTTCTTTATATCGCTGTTTCGCGCTAAACAATTCTATTTGCAGATATGCTGCATTTTTGGGTTTATCATATGTATTTTTTAATAACGTTTTCAACATATCCCAACTAGTAATATTTTCGTATTTTATTACCTCGTAAGCTAAACCCTTTATTCGATTTAAGATTGTCCTTAACATTATGTCCTGATTAGCCACCGGAGTTATATCTACTACTAACTCGCATGCATTTATAAAAAATACTAATTTTTCATCTATACCCCCACTAAATTCGGGTACCAATCGTATTACGTGCTCTACAGTTTTATCAATAGTAACTGTATGATTTACACTCGTATTATCGCTCGACGCGTTGCTATTAGTACCTGTCATGCTAACGGGTGATCCTAATACAACCTCAAAAATATGACTTTCAGAAAAGTCTATTTCAAAACTATCGTCTAACGTTACGTTTAAACTATTACGATGTCGATTCGGACATAAGATTATGCTTACCAACTATTGTACATTACTAAGTTGTTTGTATTTGACTTCGTTGCTCCAAAACGCCTTCCGATTGACTGCAGATGTTTCTGAATGATCCTTGAGAAGTTGATCAGATTTCCCTTGAATGATTCGGGTCGGAATCTTCGTTGTGTTGATACGATGTATGTGAAGATCCCTGGTTTCGGCACCAAAATTTGTTCCTGTTGTGAACCGGATGAGAGACACTGTTGATAGGCTTCGAAGTCGAACAAATAACTCTTATTCGAATTGATTATAATATAAGTTTATTAAATATAAAACATAAATCAATTAAGAATAGTTTCAAATTATTGAAACAGTACAATTTAAGACATAAATAATCAGCATGGATACCGTCAACTAGTAGCCTGCTAACTATAGAGTGATGAGCCTTTCGTTAGGGTCCCTGTTATATAGGTGCGTTGGTATAAGGAAAAAGGTACCTACACGTACATCCTTGCTACGTGTAGCCTTGTTTTTTATGTAACAAATATCATACTTTCCTTATACCTATTGCGTTGTCTTTTAGATAATAATTACTGCTGCCCATCACGTATCGGACGCATACCGAACTGCGTGTGGCCTGTAGTATTTGCAACAGTATCAACTAGATGAGTTAGAAATAAGAGCCACAACAACAAATTTAATAACAACATTGTTACTGCTACTGCAGCAATTAGTATTCGAAACAGATATGGTAGGTGAGATAATATCGGCAGCACAAAACGGTATAATACATTCAGGTATGATATCCACTAGAGAATTAAGAATGCAACTGCGGGACATATTAATAAGTTTGCCCGGGCAGTTGAAATTACCTTTTGATGTAAATTATATATCACTCTACGAATTAAGTAAGACGTCGAAACTGGCTATAGTATATATGAATGGAACTCTCGTATTCGAGTTAGTAATTCCATTACTAAACCCAGTGGAATTAACACTATACCACATAATACTATTGCCGGTACGTAAAGAACAGCTATATATGCATCTCACACCCGAATTCGAATACATGGCCATTTCAAAAACACACGAGTACTATTTAACTATTTCCGTAAACCATTTAATGAGCTGTAAAGAATTAATAAGCATGACACTATGTCCTGAAACACAACCCCTCAGGTTAGGAACAGCAGGTTTACCATGTGAAATTGAATTATTCATGAAGCCAACGATAATTCCGAGAACCTGCGCAATAAAATATTTAGAATTATCACGTAGCATCTACCATAAGTTGAAAAATCATAATAAGTGGATTTATATAATAAACACGTTAGATGATGTAGCTGTCACCTGCGATCAATGGGAAAACGCTAAGAATATACAACTAAGGGGCGTAGGTATAATAACATTAAGTGAACAATGCAGGGCACATACACCACAAGTAGTCTTAACACCTAACAGGCACTTGAAGTCCGTTCAGAATACCGATTTCATTCCACCAGTGAACATACCCACTAGTGTAAAAATTCCATTACTACCCAGTGCTAAACTCGACAGTTTACTTATCCACCAAAATCCAATAGTCAAGCTGAACGATATTAGTGACTTTTCCAAAACCATCGAGGAATTGGAAAGCGCTGTCCAGGAGGAAAAAGATAAAAGTATATTGAAAACAACCAGTGGTATGCATACAAAAATAATTATAATATTAGGAATAATGATAGTGTATAGTCTATATAGTGCTTATAAACACAAACAAAAATACCGTAGTCATAGAATAGTAATTCCTAGAGTAGACGTAACTACATTATAAAATATTAAATAGGGAAAAATATGAGCACGGCACGAGACCTAGTTAAGTTTATGGACCATCTCCGATATACGTTACACGAGGATACCACACAATTACGTGAGGGTAGTCAAACGCCGGTCTGCCTGCTAAAGCATTTGGCGAGAGCCAATCGGAGAAGCGGGTTTCTCTTAAATCATACAAGGCTACATGCAATCCAGGACGTTTTGACCACCTTCATTGAGTGGCAAAATGAGGAAGGGTCTCTAGAGGGTCACGAAACCCCATGCCACTTGCTCTTTCATTCTGTACAATCGGAAACGGTAATAATAAATGCCTTAACCGCAATATTATTTAAAGTAATACTAAATTAAATTTAAAAAAAAAAAAATAATAATATATAATAAGTAAATAAATAAAATGTTCTATTGTATGACACATATTATTGTATAAATCACTGTAACCCGAAAACGAGTGCTGTACGAATTGACAAAGCATTTTTAGGGCACTTCATAGATCAGCTAAGGATAACAATGAACCATCAATTCCATGAGAATCCAAAGGATTCATATAGGTATTATAATCCATCTTGCTTAAGGGATCACATTAGTACCACCAACACAGAGCTAGGGGGTTCTTTCACAAAGGATCAAATAGATTTAATAACCGCGCATTTATGTAGCTTTATATACCTTTCAACTCCGAAAAATAGGGCGAGTAGAGCTCCATGTATGGTGTTGTATGGGTATTTAGGCCTTAAGAAAATGATTATAAAAAAACTACTGACTATGTTGATGTAAGGGTTACGCTTAAAAACTATTTTTTGTATATGTTGTATCATTGTGAATTTGTCATATAATAATAATAATTAAAAAAAAAAAATAATGTAAAATATTGTATTGTGTATGTACTAACATAATTTAAGGAAATAATTATACCACCAGAGTAATGCAATTATTTTTTGTAAAGTATGAATATTAAATATTAGTCGTAGGACAACAGTGAAATGGTCTTCTTAACCATAAGCCCTCGTTTTGTGGGGGAGGTGTTGCAATAGCCAAGGCTAGGACCACACAATAATATAATATGATTACTATAGTATTACGCGTGGTGTACGTGGCACAGTATATTAATTACTATTAACGAGCGCCACAAGGAAAAGTTAGTTTCTAAAGTACTAGAGGAGCCATAGCGAATACTTAAGTGGGACCTTGTAAAGGACTATGTAATCTGACTGCTGTCTACTATATAAAGGCTCCCCAGCAGGGAGACCGGACACACTATTTCTGCGTGACGACTAGTTGACAGTATTCATGCTAGAGATATTTGTCTTAAGTTGTAACATTACTCTGAGTGCTTTAAAAGTATTAACCACTAACCTTTGGTCAATAAATTTATAATAATAATTAATTTGACTACGTGTTACTTCATTTGATTCGAAATTGTCAACCCAACTCCACATCTGGTTCGCAACAATGTGGACATAACACAACGACACCCTATTTTAATACCTAAGGATAGTACAATTGCTAAATTAATATTGCGCAACGAACACGAATTGCTTTTACACGCGGACCCACAAGCGATGTTGGCGAACAGTCGATTAAAGTATTGGATAATTGGTGGCCGAAATATCGCTCGGCATGTATTTCACCAATGTGTAAAATGTTTTAGACTTCGACCAACAATAGTTGAACCTATAATGTGGTTTAAAAAGTGTGGTGTCGACTACGCCGGTCCTATTTCTATAAAAACAAGTTTAAGAAGAAATGCGGCTGTGCTAAAAGGATATATGTATATGTGTATTTGTATGCTTTAGTACCCGGGCTGTCCATATCGAGTTAGTTGCTGATTTGACTACTGAAGCCTTTTTAAATGCTTTAAAACGGTTTATCGGACGCCACGGTGTATGTTCCGATATATTTAGCGACAATGCTACCAATTCTGTGGGGGCTAACAATAGGTTACTGGAACTAAAAAAAAAATTTCATTCTGAAGAGCATTTAACCAAAATGTACGATGCTTTATCAACGGTGGGTAAAGGTGGCATTTCATACCCCTGTATTGTGTTCAACCATGTATCAGTGTACATATACTTGTCACCGTGTAGGTCACCGCAGAATAAACTAAATAATGCAGTAAAATAAAATCTGTTAATTACACTTACATCTACCACCTACAGTCCACTAAAAAATCGACGGTAACAATACGTATACATTGTTTAAAACTCTGTAGTATGCATATTAAATCAATGCATATCCAAATAGCAAAAAAATATTAATATGACATAAAAAAAATATTTTCTGAGTAATGAACATTATTATATAAATGTTTTTTTTCTCCATTTTTTTAATTAGAAAATAGAAATATGTTATAATATTATTTATATAATAATGGTTGGCCACCAAAGTTACATTATATTAACATTACTTAATAATATCATTATATTATTTTATAATTATATTATTATATTATTTTTATAATAATATTATTATATTATTCTCATAATTATATTTTTATATTATTATTTATAATTTAACAATAAATTGTTAGTTTCTAAATAATAAATTTATATTTTTAATAAATGTATACTATAATATTAATTGTAAATAATTTTTTATTTTCATATAGGTTTATTATTGCACATAATTAATACTTATTAATAATATGAATTGTATAAATATGATATTTCTTATTCTGAGGTCTTATTATTGTCCCTAAATTTTGCACCAGCAATAAAAATGTTCATAGGTTGTTCCACATCAATTTTGTCATACTTATACGCTTCATGTTTTTCACAGCATCTATAATTTTAAAGTTCATTGTTAATATTCCTATATATATATATTATCATAATAATTTTTCGTCAGTAAAATATATACCAAATATAATAGAGGGAACTCCAAGTGTTGAAAACACTTTTTTCTTTTTTTGGCCCTTATAACTGTATTCTTGAAGTAATGAATCTTTGAACAGGAAACGCATTATGGACCGAATGGTGCTTGGCAACGTATTTCGCACATAACGGCTAAGTTCGGTAACCTAAAACATAAAATTATGTGATTATAATTTACATAATTTGTCACCAAATCAAATACATATTATTTATCATTTATCAAAAGAAATATAACATACCTATACAATTAAAAATGTATCAACTTACCATTTGCAACCTAAAACTATTGTCTAATAGCTTATTTTCGAATGATTGAAGAGCATTTTCATCTTCTAAAGGAAAATCACTGCTTAACAATGTTTGAAATGAATCTGCTTCAAAACTACCGACATCTCTGTTATATCCAACATTGTTGTTTTCTGTGAAGTTTCTAATTATTGCATCAAGTTTGTCAACTTTTTCATGCAGAGATCTAATTTCATACTCCAAACTCAAGACGTTACGGTTCATTTTTTCAATGGTATCTAAATGAAATGTAAAATAAATTAAATTAGTTATTGAAACCTTTATATTTTTTTTAGACCTAATATAAAATCCCAATCAAAATAGAAAATAAATATTAAACTAAGTATACTTTTTGGAGTTTATAAAAAACTATATAAGAAGTGTCATAATATATTTTATTTTAAATTATATTAATGAATTACTTTACATTATATTATAGTAGTGCGCTATATTTGATACCTATACATTTTAAATATATTATGAGGTATAAATGTATAATACATATAAATACATATAACATTAAAATATTATTAAATTTATTATATTACCAATCTAGAAAAAAATATTTTAAAATTGTAAGTAACTTAACCTTTAGAATTCAAAATACTAAGTAAATCAATAAATATTTAAATATTATTTAAAATCTCGTCATGAGTTTTTCTGGACCTACAAAGAAAATATATTTGGGATTTTTTATTTATATAAAAGACTCCTATAAGTAGGTACCTCAAATCAATATAAATAAACATACCACTATTATTATTCATCTTCTTGTTTTGAGTAGTTTGAGAAGTACTTGCTATATAATTTTCATCATGACGAGTGACCTTAAATGGTGACGATGATGTACTGATAATTTCAGTATGTTTTATACTATCGGGTGTTGCTTTACTTTGATCTGAAACAATATCATCAAAAAAAAATAATATATTGCTAGTATAAAAAATACAAAACTTACCAGCATTTTTAAATTCCTGTATTTTGTTTGATGTACTGGGACTTACTGATAAGCAAACCCTTTTTCTAGGATCACTATAATAATATGAAATACCTGGTGATTCTGTTGATAATGGCTTATTATGAGACACTGAATTACCTAAAACATATTTAAATTTTTAACCATATAATATATTAGTATATTACACATAAATAATATATACCATCTTAAATATCTATCGACTTGGATACTAGAATACCTACTAAATTGAAGTTTTATTTATAATTATACTAGCTGCCCGATCTTCCTCCGGAAGAAATTATTTTTTTACAATTTAATTTAAAAAACATAAGCCTATTTTTTGGCTATACAAATAATACAATATAATTACATATTGTAGGTAGTTATTGTTATTGCTAATTTCTGAAAATTATATTTCCTACATTTAGAATTCAACCACTGGAGTGGTACATTTTATTCTTTTTATTATAGAATAGAGATAAGGCAGAAAAAAATGTAACAATAAATTATTTGTTCAATGTATAATATATATATTTCAAATGGAAAAATGCAAGTGCAAACAAATAAATAATTAATAATCATAATAACAATAATAAATACAGTGTGATTCCTTTTAAAGGTAACACTAAATAATTCTGTCCAGTGACATCGGATTAATATGCGGTTTTCGGGAGGGGGTAGGGAATATATAAATACAAATTTCTTGATGATTTTTACATTTTTCGATCTTTCCAGGTTTAGTAATTCAGCACTTATTTTATCATCGACACATTTTATCAACTAACCAAACCAGTAAGGCAGTAAATGAACATGAGGAAGACCTTAAATAATGAATAATTATACGTAGAAAAATAATAATAATTAAATAATACTATTCATTTATTA